TCATTATTAAAGATCAAAGTGTTATACATTTACATATGATCTCGAAAGCCTAGTCCTTGATCTTGTTTTGAAATTTCTTTCATATTTGGCTTTTAAACTCTTGATCTTTCTTGAGATTTGGTTTTAATGTTTGATTTCGATCTTGACCTTCTTCATGAGCTCAATTTGACAGTCTTGATTTTGATCTTTTAAGCTCTCGCCTCGAATGATTTGATTTGAAAACTTAACTTTCACTTTGATCTTCATTTCGAGTCCGATTTATAATGTGTTGATTTTGACAATACTTGATTGATTTTAACATAAAACTATCATCACTCAAAATCAATTGTTAGAAACATTGTTAATCTTGTTTGTTATGATCAAAACATTAAGGATAAAATCAACCATAGGTCAACATCTTCTATTGGTGTCATTTCTCAGTTTATGCAAAATCCACGAACTCCTTATTTAGATGCTGCTAAAATAACCCTACATTACATAAAATGTTCTCTTGCTTTTGGCCTTGTGTACAAAAAGGATAATTATTTTCTGTTGAAATGATTTACTGATGCAGATGGGAAAGCGGATGCAATTGATCGTCATTCACTTCAGGATATTGTTTCAGCTTGGGTTAAGTTGTTGTTTCTTGGTGCAGCAAGAGCAATCTACTATTGCCTTGTCCAGTACTAAAGCTGAATACATGGGACGACAATGCTTGCACAATGCATTTAGTTGAAGTGTTCGATGGAAGATATTTTTCTTTTTTTCTGATTCACTGTGACAATGAGAGTGCCATCGAACATGTAACAAATCCAATTATTCACAGGCGAACAACATAATGATGTTTGTTACCACTTTATTAGAAAGAAAGTCCTGAACTAAGAAATTGAGTTGAAAGGAATTCGTACTACCAATCAAGTTGAAGATATATTTACAAGGCTTTAGCTAAACGTAAATTTGAGCGTTTTAGAATTGCTCTTGTAGTTATTGATCGTAAGTGCACCAAGCTCGAATTCTTGTCTAACAAATTAGTGCATTTTACTATTTGTTTACCGTCAATTTTTTTATACTGTTTACTAATTTAATCGTGTGTTCCTATTACAAAGTAGTAATGCGTCAAATACAAGAGTATATTACTTAACTCTATAATTGTAGGAATTTATTTATGGATTTGATGTTTATTTTAGGGGAGTTTATGTTTTCAAGCCTATAAATTAAAGCATATGATGGTATCATTTTCATACTTCAATCAGATATTCAATTGCTCTTCAAATATCAGTTTTCTCCTTTTAATGATTTCTTATTCTCTCTTTTATCATATCCCATTCGATCTATATCTTAGGGTGCGTTTGATTGTAAGGGTGGAAAATGGGTGGAAAGAAAATGTTTTACAGGGAAAAGATTTGCCTAGAAAATGTTTTGCAGGGAAAAAGATTTCAAGTGTGCTTGATTGGTATAATTTTCCACCCTGAAAATTTTTAAATTTTCTATTCATTTAGTTTTGTTTTACATGAAAATTGTCTATTAAAATGATATTTTTTTCCACAATTGATTATAAAATTTGTTTCCATTGCCAAAAAGTAAAAAAAAAAAAAGGGAAAAAAATTTGTTTCCTAAAAAATCATTTTTTTCATCAAAGTTTAGTATTCATTTGACTTTATTTTACATGAAAATTGTCCATTAAAGTGAAATTTTTTTTACCATTAATTATGACATTTGTTTCCATTGTCCCAAAAAAAAAAAAAATTTCAGCCAGCCGGGAAAA